AACGTACTGCGTAAGGAGAGGCATCAATGTCGAAAATTCTATCTCTGACACTGTTCCTGCTCTCATTTTTGTCAGAGGCCTTAAATCGACACTGGTGACCGTTTTATCGATTTATCAGTATCGCACTTGTCGTTTGATCTGGTAATATACGCAGGTGGCGTGGGGTAATGATCCTCCAGCGCGATCGTGTGACATCACCGGTGTAGAAGACATGTAGGTACACATAGACCAACACCGGTGTTCCGTTGTCATGACTGCAACACTCCATGCTATTTTCGTGAGTCGATGAGAACCACAACCGATTCATGAAGAACTCGGATCAAGGCAGCCCAATGAGGAACGCCAGTCACGTGGGTCAATAGAGCCGGATGAACAAGTCGACCAGCGTTCACGTAACTGACGTGCACGTTTCTTGGTCGATCGCAGTGAGGCACGCCAGGTGGAGCGGTTGCAATAATACGGGCCAAATGACATTGCTGACCTTCCTTGATGCTTCATTACAATGGACAAAGACGTGGTTGGGTTCATGGAGGATAATGAAGACGATGATAAGCGGGAGCAATCGCAATGCGGGAAAACGTCGTGGAGATTTGCAGTTTTCTGAACCATGTGGCTGTAGCACTATGAGGGATACCATTCTAGCCACAAGTGCGCTGGAACGGATGCACTGTTTACCAGGCGGAGCAAGAACACTGCCTTCGTGTTGTTCGAACTCGTGGTTGACAAAGTAATTGTCGAGTGCGCGNACATTTGTGATAGAATGACGGCACGGAATATGTGCCGAATAACTCCTGGACGGGTTAATCTCCAGTAGGACAAACCTGTTGAATTTCTTTCGTTTCTGGAAAGATTTTGTGATGGAAAATTCCCAGCCCCGGTCAGGTAAAACAGAGGCACGTGACTTGAAATCTGAGTGACAGAGTGATTGTGATGTTGTTTCCTGTCTAGGTGGGGAATTATCGATTATCGATTACCCACTTGTGGCTGGAAATCGACAGGATTTGATGTCACTGAAGTCTGATGAGACGTGCACTGCTGATAAGTCTTGCCTCCTGGCTTTTCAGCTAAGAAGGAGTTCATTTGAAGGATAAAACTTCGAGTAAAGCTTTAAAGTCTCTATTTCTAATCAGAAGTTTAACACTGCGCGTTTCTTAGTTGGTTTACTCGGTTCCCTGCCACGTTGCTTCCGGTTGCCTTCACACTGGTTTCTGTTTCAGCGCTTTACGTTAAATGTTTGCTTAATTCACGAATTAGATTATCAGGAAGGTCAGATTCCTGAATG